CTCAAAAAAAAAAAAAAAAAAGAAAAAGAAAAATCCAGATGCCTGGGTCACACCCCTGAACAATTAAATTCGACTTTCTGGTGGCATCAAGTTATCACCCTTAGAAAAACAAGCAAGCACCCCTCTCCCCAGGTGATTCCAATGTGCAGCCGAGTTTGACAATCGGTGCTAGAGCCTGGCTCTCAAAATGTGGTCCCTGGGCCGGCATCCCCTGGGACTCATGGGAAATGCAAATTCTCATTCCCCAGCCCAAAGTTTACAGAAGCAGAAAATCTGGGTGTGAGGCCCAGCAATCTCTGGGCTCACAAATCCTCCCAGGTAAGGTGCCCAGCAGAGCTTAGAACCACCGAGCTAGAGCCTCGCTCCTCGGAAGGTGGCTGGGGTACCAGCAACACTGGTATCACCTGGGAGCTTGTGAGAAATGCAGATTCTCGGGCTGGATCACAAGCTGCAATTTGACAAAGGTCCCTAGGTGATTCCTATGCACACAAAAGGGAGACACGGCTAATCTCCACTGAGTGTCTTTGAAGGGTAGAGCGCCTTGAACGTGGGAAATGTTGGTAGGGCCCAGCCACAGGAGGACGGGGTTTTCCGTGCTGTCTCCCTCACGCTCAGAACAATGTTGGGCACAGGACTGAATAAACGCGTGTTGAATAAGTGAATGACCAAATGAGTGGACGAAGGTACAGTTTCATTAGGAAAGGCCTAGCTGACGAGAACTGGAGGAGAGGTGGTCCTGCAGCGCCCAGGAAAGACTGGTCTAGGCAGAGGGGACAGCAAGTGTGAAAGCCCTGAGGCAGAACCACATTTCCCAGTTAAGCAAAAAGAGAGGTGGCCAGGGGCTGGGCCCAGTGAGCCAAGGGGACAGGGAGAAGAGTGAGGGAAGCTTTTAGGGCAGATCAGCAGAGCCTGGTGGCCAAGGGCAAGGAACTCAGATCGTATTCCATACTTTTTTTCCTTTGATTTGGAGACTCTCTCTGGCTCCCAGGCTGGAATTCAGCAACACAATCACGACTACTGCATCCTCAACTTCCTGGGCTCAGGGGATCCTTCCGCCTCAGCCTCCCGAATAGCTGGAACTACAGGCACGGGTCCCCACACCCAGCTAATTTTTATTTTTATGTTTTTAGAGATGCGATCTCACTGTGCTGTCTAGGCTGGTCTCAAACTCCTGGGCTCAAACAATCCTTCCGCCTTGGCTTCCCAAAGTGTTAGGATGACAGGTACGAGCCACCGTGCCTGACCTTATTCTGTACTTTTCAGGAACACTGAGTCCTCTCCCTCGGTGGAATCATTACTCCCATTTAACAGGTGGGGCAAATGAGTCCCCAGGAGGTTAGGCTACAGCTCAGGAGCCCAGACTGGTAAGAGGCAGAAGTGGGAATGCAGTGGGAGCTCCTGGGGGCTTCTTGGGTTCATGTCCCCCTCCGGAATCCCTCTGGGAGCAGGCCCTGTGGTCACGCCTCTCTGGGGTCCTCTGGAAACTTAAAGCCACACAGTAAAGATTCTATTAGATGGAATGGCCCAGGAAGAGGGAGAACAGGAGACCAGGTAGGAGGAGAGGTCTCATCTGGCCCTTGGGGTCCCTCTCAGGGTAGAATGTCCCCTGCAGAGTTGCTGGACTCACCATCCACCTCAAGAGAAAGTGTGTGTGTAACCCAGCCCCAATGACCCTGTCTGCTCGGGACCAGATACTACCTCTCTCTGTCCCCTGGTTTGTTCCCCCAAAGCCTTCACCATGGCAGCCAGCTTGCTCCAGGAAAGTAGAAAGGGCACTGACAACACCAAGTCCCAAAAAGGAATGTGTTGGCAGGTCCCACCACCCGGGGGATTGGATATCTGGTGTCTGGAGACGCCAAGAGCTCAGCAGAAAATGATTCAGAAGTGGTTTAAACTCTGGAGCCAGAGTGCCTGGGTTTGAGTCCTGTGTGACTTTAAAGTTGGTTACTTAACTCCCCCAAGCCTCAGCTTCCACACCTGTAAAATGGGCTCAAAGCCATATAGGAGTGTAATAATTTTTCTTTCTTTTTTTGAGTTGGAGTCTCACTCTTGTCACTCAGGTTGGAGTGCAGTGGCACACTCACGGTCACCGCAGCCTCGACCTACTGGGCTCAGGCGATCCTTCCGTCTCAGCCTTCCAAGTAGCTGGAACTACAGATGCATGCCACAACGCCCGGTTAGGAGTGCAATAATTAAATAAGA